AATAAGTCATGCGGACCAATCAAACTTAAGATTTTGCGGACAAATCCCACTCCAAACAGCGTATAAACCATACACTTATTACATTCGTTCCTGGTATTACAGGTAACACTTATCCGGCCACGTCAAACTGTGATTGAGTCTATCGCTATCACGTCTGACTTATATTCGATGATCATGTGTCCCATTACTTAAATAGATTGAGCCATCTAAGTTTGAAGTTGTTCTCTTTTCGGAAAAACACGGCTTTGTTATATGATAATTAACCAATCAAAACCGCTTTATTAACACATGATCAAAACAAATAGATAATCATTGAACTAAGGCAGCCAATCAACAGGCATTACTCGTATATACGATTTCATTCATAATTTAGCTTTGAAGCAAAATAACTCGCATTATAAAGAAATCAGACTATTCATCTACATTATAACAGCAATTTTACAATTGTAAAAACTCATTTAAAAGATTTTTAATACAAGTTACATGTCCTTCAATAGTTTTTCTTAAAATCTTGCGTAATTAATAAAACTATACTATCGTACATACAGTATTAAGAAGCATGTATAACTTTAAAAAAGAGTCTGCATAAAGTTTGTAAATAAAAATTAACAATTTAATAATTGAAATAATAATAAAAAAAATAAAATTGCAAAACTAGTGCAATATACTTTTCTTACCTTTTACTTACGGTAGATAGTACTTCAACTCTTAAGAGATCTACCTTTTATAGCGCGATGCAACACGATGCTTGACAAGACGTTCGTTATGAAGATATTTATTAGTTGTTCAGTTTTTTTTTTTTTAGTTCACTTATACCCGAAAATTCTACACTACTATTCTATATAAATACTAGTGTAATGTTGATCCCGGGATTTGTAGCATTTACCAAGTTTCTATTAGCTGAGATTATTCGCACCAATTTATATATCACTTTTTAATATGTAACACCTAAGTTAGGGCTTGGGGTTAGTGTTAATAGACGACCTTACACTAAAATTTTGCAAGGAAATTTTTTTATTAGTGTCCAAAAGGTGATTTCTTAGGCGAACTTTTGAAATAAATGTAACTTTTCAAAAAAAAGCTGGATTTGTCACATATGATGATCAAAACATGATAATTAACCAATCAAATCAATAAATGTGATATTTGCATGATCTGTCGATCAAAACGTAATCAAAAATGTGATGCATATCTAGTATTTCAGAGATCCCATTTCACCGCCACTCATCACTGACCTGTTTATTTTACCAATGCTTAATTCACTGACAAGCGACGAACCCTTCAGCATTGCTATTAGTAAGAGTTATACCTATTTTGGGATCTTGAAATAGCAGAGCTTTGCATAACCTTAGACAAAAGCTCTGGCGTCAGTGTGCAAACTTTTCTTTAGGGTCATTCTTGCCACATGCTGCACATGGTCCTGTGTTTTTACGTGGTCTACCCTTCAGCATTGTCCCTAGTAAAAAGTCGTGCCTATTTTTGGATCCAGAAATGAGATTTTTGGATCCAGAAATTTAAGGTCTTGGTGAATGTAAATATAAAATTTGCAAGGAAAGTTATGTTGTTTTTACGTATGTTTAAATAAATCAACCAATCAGCATAAGATTCGTGATAATCACATCAGAAATAAATCCGCCCATACGATCTTCACATTACACCTGATCTTGCATTCTGATTGGCAGATCAGAAACTTGGGGAAATTATTCTTATTTAGGAATAAATATTTTTTTTTTGTGACCAATACAGAACAATTTTTTATCTTTTACTTAGTTTAGGTGCTGTATCACATTTAATAAATCTCTATAAAACTGGACTAAAAAAAATTTATAAAAAAAAGTTGTTCAATAAAAAAAAAAAAAGTTCGAGTAAAATTTATAAAAAAAAAGTTGTTTCTTTGAGTAAAAATTTATAAAATTTATAAAAAAATAATTTTTTTTTAAAAAAAATGAACGTTACCGAAGTTGAAAACTACCTCCAGCTCAACGTTTTTGGAAAATTTATTCTCATAATAATCTTATTTGCATTATTCGGTATTTTAATAGGAATTTATTTATTATTTAACCGCTCTTTGAATATCCTCAACGTTCTGATCAGAGGAATAGTGAAAATCTTAACCGCAATAGCTGATCTTATCAAAGCTTCGAAATCTAATTTAATCAATTCTATTGCAAAAAATACCGTTAGCCCTAATATTAGCTCAAACAAAAATATGAGCAATAACATCACTCTGGAAAACCTGTCTGTATAAACAGATATCTGTAAACAAGAAATGGAACATAGGTTTCCAGGAGAGATCGTCTCAGATTAGGAAATATTTACCTGAGTCACCCGATCATCACGATTAAACAATTGAAAAATATCATATATTGATTAGCCAATAAAAATTGTAAATTTTTATAAAATGAAAAGAAATTTAATTAAAGTGTCACTGTTGTTGTTGGGTAAATAAGCATGTATTTATTAATTTAATTCAAGATTATTCATCTTTAATAGTACTTAATTACAAGATCCCATTAATTTATATATTTTAATTCTACGTCTAATTCTACGCTTAATTTTATATTTAATTCTATACTATTTTATATTATACAACTATTATTCTAATATATCGTGCTTGTATATGAATTTCTTATTATATTTTAAACGCTTTTCTAATAATATTAATAAATTGTATAATAAAAAATTTTTATACAACATATACAATAAAAAAAATATACAAATAAATTACTTTTTTTTTACAATTTTTATGCATCTATTATATGTTTTATATGTTTTTTAAAAATTTCTAAGTTTTTATAAGTTTTGTATATAAAATTTTTAATACCAATTTTTTTACATTAAAGTTAATATTAAGGATAGGATTGGGTTTGAAAAGAGTTTTTGAAGTCATAGAACATTTTTATTTAGAACATTTCACACTAATTAATTAATCAGTTTTTGAGATAATATATATAGATATTAAACACTATAGGTATATTTTAGTAAAATTTTTTTTTTAAGAATTTAATAATTTTGTGTATATGCATTGTAATGTATACTATAAGATCAGATATAATATGAAATCAAAACAATAGTTTTTTATGTGATTGGAGTTAATGTTAGATAAAGTTAAAATAGCTATAAAAGATGGCTTTATAGTAAAATTTTGGAAAGATTTTTTTTGTTAGGATCTAAAAGGTAGTTATATATATGAAAATTTAAGTTATAGGTAATTTTAGTAAAACAAATGCTTGTTTTGGATTTTTTTAATTGTATAATATTACATCTAATCTTACATTTTAATTAGTTAATCAGGGTGTATTACAATATATATGCATTAAATTATATAATTTTTTTTTATAATATTATTATAAAACAATCACATAATTTATATCAACTCTTTCTGACAATCCTCTGGTCAACAAGTTCAAAAATTCGAACTACAGTTAGCATTATAGAAGACATCAAAGGGTAATAATATCTTGGCTCTATACAAATAGATGTGTTGTCGATGAAATATCAAGAGTGTAAAACTGAGGAGTGGACTACTTTGAACAGTTTTTGTAGAGATAAAATTTTCTTGCTAGTGGACTTCTTTATTATATTCAGCATCCAAACCAGAAGGATATTCTGAGAATACAGAACAACTAGATTGACACTGAGCATATTAACAAAACTGAAGATAGTCCCAATATAACTGTAAAATTTACAAGGAAGAACCTACAAAGTTTCATTGGTCCATCACTTTTTTTGAGAAAATTTTGTCAAAAAGTGAACGTCTCAGCTTATCCCTTTCAAAAGATCAATACATTATTTTTCAAAACAGTTAGTATTGTTTATCTTTCAAATCAGATAAATTATTTTCTAAAATAGGTTGTTTATTTTTAGTAAACACAATATTGATGAATGGCTGGATTAAGCAACTGAGCACATCTGAAGGACAACACAATTAAGCAACATGCCTCAACTGAAAGAAACTGTTTAAACAATACTTTGAGACTAATGATGCCTTTTAACTACTCTGTCTAGTTTAATTTGATTTAGTTTAAATCTGCTATTTTTGTTTTTTTTGTATAGATTAGATATATTATTAGAATAAAGTTAGATACAGAGCTTCTTTATCTTGTAATATATAATTTTTGTTAGCCTAACACAAGCTTATAATTATGACTATCAGATTTTTTTTACTCTCATTTTTTCTCTTTTCTACTTTTTTAGTATTAGTGTTAGTATTAGTATTTTTTTTCTTTTTTTCACTTCTCTACGAGAAGATATTATCAAAGAATCATCCAGAGGAGCCATAAAAAATGCTGTGACATTGATCATCAGCACAGAGTAATACATAGATTCTGTGACGCAGCAACAGTATATATTAGGTATGATCATTGTTAAGCCGAACTTGGGCAACTTCCTTGTACAGTAATTTAATATATCATTCCTTGTAGTTTCATAGATCTTTAACTATATAGTAAGCAATAAAGCAAACTTTTCTAAGATTACAATTATTTAAATTATTATTTATATTTTAGTAGTTTAAATCATTTTTACTTGGTAAATTAAAGTTTATTATATTCTTAAAATAAATTAATCATCTTTTACAATATTTTTATTTATTTTTATTTTTTATTTTTTTTTTCACTTAGGCAAGGTCACATCAGTGATTCCTGTTTATTCAAGTTCTTCTTGTGAAAGCTGTAAACAATAAAATTATAACTCTGACATCCTGTAGTTATCTCGCATAACCTAACTGATTACCTACACATACCTACAGGTGACCTGCCACACCACAGAGATATGATCAATTAAGATAATACTCTAGATGGAGAGCTCGTCCAACTACTGCCCTACAATAGGATATCGCCAATCTGATGACATCTTCTTGTAGGGAAGTGAAAGAAAAAAAAACATTTTACAAAAAACACAGAGGTATAGAGGAATACGATAAAAGATACAAATAAAAAAATAAAGGGATAAAGAGAGAAATGAAAAAAAGAAAAAATATGGGATATACCCACAACGGACGGTTATAATTATTAGCCTGTATCAGGCTTTGTAAAAATTACATACTACTATCTAAACTAGTTTCTACTCTAATTTAACTAATTAGTATATTTAAGCGAAAA